AGAATGAGTTAGCATCAAACTTGTGGAATCTTTGACGACCCTTGTTGAAGCTCTATGAAAAGGTATGATACTTTTCACTTCTATATCAAAATATTTTCCAGCCATTAAAAGGTTATCAAAGAAAGTGATGTTAGTCCCTGCATACAGTATTTTGATTTTTCGATTCCCCATCTCCCTTACTAGTTGAATTACAATATCAATATTTTGAGAAAAACTTACCAGTTTAGAACCACCAAGAACACACATGGTTTTGATCGGATGAAGAAATTTATTACCTTGAGAAGACTCTGAAACATCCATCTATTTATTGATAAACTAAATTCTGTGAGTTATATGATTATGATGGATGACTCGCTATTTAAAAGGGATGTTTCACAAAACGATAACCGACAGATAAGGCGTTAAGTCTTCAAAGAATTTTATCTGTCGGCAGCTATAAGATTTTCTGAAAATTACAGTACAACATACTAAACTGTATTTCTCATACTAGCAAGAACAATTTTTACAAACTTGATCTTTTGAAATAATATTTTCGAGACTATAACGTTCTTCTTCATTTTTGAAACGAATCCATAGAGACATAAGCTCACGATGCACATAACCACTAGGATGTGTCTCAAGAATCTGTTGAATCGTTTGATCCATAGATTCTTTACTCAATTCATCCTTTATCAATGATATTTTATCCTCTCGATTTTGGACATGAACCCCACAGATTTACATCGTGTGTCACAAGTCCATCGAGCGCATTTGAAGCATCCACCTAATCTTTTTTCTCTTCGTTTCTTTGCGAAAGTACTTTTATCCATACCTGGCATATATTTATATGAATTTGGAAATTCTCCAGACAATATGACTTTTGCTTCAATCAACCATCGAATATCACTTGGAATATTATTAATCATTAGCACCCTCAATCTTTCTAATCGATATCGATAAATCCTTTTTATGATATTTATTGGGAGAAATGAATAATATTTACGGATATTTGAGAGTGCTAAGTCCATTTGAAATCAGACCTTTGTTAAGGAAGATTGAATGATTTATCTGATAATTTATAGAAATAATGCGTATGCGATACGACTCTATAAACAGAGCTTAAAAGTCTTTAGGCAAAGTCTTTAGGCATGATACGCATGTGATACGACTCTGAATTTAAATATTGGGTGCACTAGAAGTGCATTTATTGCCGCCAAAAGATGATGTGATATGTTTGTGATAAATATGAATTATTGTGATGTTTACCGATATAAATGATAATGGTTTGCATGATTTGTGATATGTGATGTTTTGTTCTCTATTGGTGAAATTATTACTAGCTAAATATTTGTGAATCAATATGAAAAAGGGGTACGATATATATATGGGCTCACTACCTATCCATGTGTGATACTAGATAGCCACATGATATATGATTCTTAACTTGAAGTTACAAGATGTTTTGAGCAATGAATATGCATATGACACGTAATCTGAAGTTATGAGATAATTATGAAATAATAAAAATAAGTGTCATATGAAAGTAATATGGCAGTAATATATCTAATGATGAAATCTTGAAAGAAAAATGTGCACATTAGAAGTAATATGAGTTCAAAGTTCTACTATTATATATATATTGAAATCGAGAAAGAAACGGAGACTATATGAACTTCTCTCAAGAAATTCAATATCGAAAATACATATCAGAGGTTTGTTAAGTCTAGGGGGAGAATCGATGATTGAAATTTATCACACTGGAAGTGTGCAAATAAACTGAATGATACTGATGAAGGTGAAATATATGAAATATTATGATGGTGGAATAATATGCTGGAAGAGTTGATATTGTGATAATCATGGAAATATTATTATGGTGAATATATGGAATACGCGTTGTACTCTTTTTCCCTTGACTGAGGTTTTGTCCCATTGGGTTTTCCCAGCAAAGTTTTTAATGAGGCAATAGGGATGGCGTATTCACATGAATAGTGTACTCTTTTTCCTTCATTAGGATTTTGTCCCACTGGATTTTTCCTAATAAGGTTTTAACGAGGCATATTCATGGTATGATGAGGTCTACTGAATAAATGATATGATTCCTCATGATGATAAAAAGATATTGAAGTAGTTGTACTCTTTTTCCTTCGATCAAGTTTTTTCCCATTGGGTTTTCTTGACAAGGTTTTTAATGAGGCAGCACGTGGATACTCCACTAAATATGATATATTTGAGGGGGAGCAATGTTTTGCTTCCACAATGCTCAGGTTTTGTCCCAGCGGGTTTTTCCTGAGGAAGTAATGTTGTGATTCCAATATAATCAGGTTTTGTCCCACCGGGTTTTTCCTGACTTAATGAAGCAGCGGTATTTGATGGAAACAAGATACAATTCAAGATGTTCAGATTGAGATTTGTCCAAACCAGTTAAATTTTATTTAGAAAATAGTCATTCAAGGGGGAGTGTTATAATATATATGTGCATGCACCACGAGGTGATAATATATATATATGTGAATGACTATTTTGTTCCTGATGTAATTGTATTATTACGATTGTGCCATCAGAAGTTTTCCTATAAATAGGAGCTTCAGTTATAATGAAAATTGAACCAAGAGAAAACATTCTCTATATTCTTTATTTCTCTCTAGTTTTATAACAACAATTTCTTAATTGTTTTGCAATAACAAATACCACTTGCTTTCAAATAGTGAAAGCTATTGGTAAAGACAAGTTCAAGTTGGATAAAGTTGGGTATACAATAAAATTATTGTGTGAGGCAGTTTAACTCGAGTCAGTTCATTATATTTTTGGAATAAAAATGCATACTTATGTTATGAAATAGTATATTTTTATTTACGTTGTTTTTTAAAGTTTGATAATTTAATTTAAAATATTAAAAAATATGTCAGTCTAACAGTCAGATCTGTCTCACCGCTGAATTGAGTAAAGCAAATCTAAAAGGAAAGCTAGTTGAGGTTTGTACAAGAGGAGCTTAAAAAGTACAAGAAGAATCACTTTAACTAAACAACTAACAACTTAAAATTCAATCTGACACTCTTTATTAAAGGTAATATAAAGGATTAAATATTCCACACCAAGAAAAATTAATATTGATATTCAAACTAAGCATATTATGAAGGGGAAATTGCAACATATAAACAATACAAAATTAAAGGTATCACAAATCAACTTGTTTCTATCACTTTATGGATTCACATGTATATATTCGAGTTGTCTAGTTATAGTATAAAACTATTTATCATCTTAAGATTTCATGTAAAAAGGTCTTATGCTTCCACAACCACTATAGTGTAAATGCAGAAAATCGCACATTAAAAGAATTCTTTCCAGTTGAGGTTAATTGGTTAGTTGCAATAATTCCAAAGACCCACAAGTCATTCTATAGTCTGGTCTTGCTTTGCACCAAGTATTTAGTGGGCACAAATACTGTTGGCCAATGTAACGTCTGACGGGTTATAGACGGATCAACTTCTACGAATTACCACAAAAAATGCCACACTTATTATTTATATTGTTATATAAAACGTGATATTTGATTTGAATATAAAAAATATTGTAGGTTAACGATTGTATTTGTTTAACAGCAGCTTACCGCACTACAAAAACATTGTCATATTTTAATGGAAAATTATAAGGAAATATATCAATTGAAATTTCAACTGATATTTCAATTGTATGTCTTCCATTAGAATGATTCTAATAGAAATTTCAACAAAAATATTATGTTAGAATGAGTTTTCATGGAAATTTTAGATGGTATTTGATTATTTCAACAACTATTTTTCAACGGACTTTTTACCGTATAAATTTCTGCTGGGCTATGCAGTTTCCGTTGAAATTTTTATTTTCACACATATTTCAACCATTGGAATTACTGGAATCATCAAAGTTAAACATAAAATTCATTCCAACCGAACATTGTTGTTGTAATTCAGTGAAAAATTCCAACAAAAACAATAACATTGTAATATCCATGAGAATTGTCGTTGGAATTCCATTGGAATATATTTTCGTTGGAATTTCATCATTTTCTTGTAGTGCCGTTTAGTTGGTTTGTGAAAAAAAAAAAATGAAACAAAAACCTAACGTTAAATTATTCTAATCATGCATTGGTATACCTTTGTGAAGCCATTTGCTTGGACTCTTTCAATGGGAACAATCAAAATCAAATCAGCCAAGAACAACGTTGAAAGACAAAGGCGCCACCCGGATTCAGACATTTGGAAAAGCTGTTTCTTAGTCTTTCATCTTAATTTATAGTTAATTAATGAATCATTCACCTACCCATGGCAAGTGCATTAAAATCTGTTTATCAGCTACGTGTTAAGATCTCGTGATTTTTTAATCACATAATCACCGTGTATGATATGTTAATTTCTTGGTAGGATAGCGTGACTGATTAACCACAATAAGCTAATAATTCAAAAACCCTCACAATTTACTAGTGTTCCTTAGAGAGAATTCTTGCACTAGTAAAATTGCTTTGCCCTAACTGAATTTCTCAAAAAAACTTTGTATTAATTAACTATTATGAAATGAACTTCTGAAAAATTTCTCTAATTAATTGTTGCTTATCTAAAATGCAATTGTTAACTGAATAACTCAACCACTATGCACACGTTATACGTCTTGGTATATATGACAAGATGAATATTTGCACATTCAATAGTTGAAGAAGGAAAAATCAGTCAAACAACAAAGACTTCATAGTTTTAACTCACTATAACATCCATCAAAGAGTAAATGGAGACTACTGAAAGCCAAAAGAACCATACTATGTGTTTACATATTTTCATACATAGAGACTTGAATTTGATGTAAATTACAATTTTGCAAAATATTTGATGTAAATAAAAATTATACATTCATCAAGGACCT